ACACGTCCTGACTGCTCAAGTGGCACTTTGACCACATCCTCTCCTCGCCTAATGTTCTCAAGGATGCAAACCTGTCTGATTGTGTCATTCTGCCTGAGCCATCCATGACCTCCCTCTTATCAGCTCCGCTGACCCTTAACTGCACCCAGAGCTTCATGCAGAGGGTGGTCTGTGTCTTCAAGGTATGCTGAGATATGACTTCGCCTGCATCACCTTGTGCAATTAGTAGTAGTAGTTAGTTAGTAGTATTGTAGTAGTAGTAGGAAGTAGTATAGTAGTAGTAGTAGTAGTAGTAGTAGTAGTAGTAGTAGTAGTAGTAGTAGTATTAGTAGTAGTAGTAGTAGTAGTATAGTGATGCTGCCCACCCCCCCCCCCCTTGGGGCCGCTTTTATTGTCAAAAGTCCAGAAGTAACGAACAACTCAAAAACTTTCCGCTGTAGTTTACAGCTTAGTGCACCGCAAAGAAGAAGAAGAAAAGAAGAAGAGAAGAAGAAGAGAAGAGAAGAAGAAGAAGAAGAAGAAGATAAGAAGCAGAAGAAGAAGAATAGGAAGAAGAAGAAGAGAAGAAGAGAAGAAGAAGAAGAAGAAGAAGAAGAAAGAAGAAGAAGCAGAATAAAGAAGAAGGAAAACTAGAAGAAGAAGGAAGAAGAAGAAGAAGAAGAAAAAGAAGAAGAAGAAGAAAGAAAGAAGACGAAGAAGAAGAAGAAGAAGAAAAGAAGAAAGAAGAAGAAGAAGAAGAAGAAGAGAAGAAAAGAAGAAGAAAGCTAAAGAAGAAAGAAGAAGAAGAGAAGAAGAACAGAAGAAGAAGAAGAAAGAAGAAGAGAAGAAGAAGAAGAAGAAGAAGAAGAAAGAAGAAAAATAAGCAAAAGAAGAAGAAGAAAGAAGAAGAGAGAAGACGAAGGAGAAAGAATCAAGAAGAAAGAAGACAAAAAAGAAAGAAAGCGGGAAAGAAGAAGAATAGCAGAAGAAGAAGAAGAATAAGACGAAGAAGAGAGAAGAAGAAGAAAGCCGGAAGAAGAAGAAGACGAAGAAGAAGAAGAAAAAGAAGAAGAAGAAGAAGAAAAAGAAGAAGAAAAAGAAGAAAAAGAAGAGGAGTTTCTATCAGGCATGTCAGATTGAGGGTCCATCGGGTTTTTTTTCCCCTAACTTTTTAGGAAGGCATGAAAGAAACCAGATATTCCCACCAAGATATTTTGCTCTGTGAAGGATCCCACTGCACTTCTAAAATTTTGCTGAGAAATAATGCAGAGCTAACGTTCCAAAGAGGACAAACTACTCTATCATTCCTTAAGTTCACAGCTTGCAGTAACGAAATTCCCTTTCCCATTTTCGTAAAAAAAAAAAAAAAAAAAAGGTTTGTTCCTCTTTGAAGTTAGTCTTCAATTTCTCGAGTCTTGAGACACACACTCATATTTATTGAATGATCAATGGTTTGTTTATTCCCATTTTTCTTGATCCACTTCGCCCCCGATGCGCATGTTGCTAACTCATTGCGAACGCGCTTCGTAATGGCATGTTCGATCCCTGCTGCAGATTATTGTTCTTGCGATGTTTTCTACAGTGGTACCGAGAGCTAACCGTTCAAGTAAGCAATGGCAAACTATTAAAGGTAATATTTGCCTAGAAAAACCACAACAGCCACAAAATGCTAGGGCTGGTTCTGCAACGTCCTGTAAAGGATACACAACTAACTATAACCTAATAGGGGGAGCACTAGTAGTTTTAAAGATTATGTGGAATCTGAATACTAAAAAATAGAATTACAATTACAATCACCGTTTGGGAAAAAAATGTAAAGAAATTTATGAAACCTTTGTGTGGGCTGCAGGTGTGCTTGCCAAGTGCTGCTAGTTTGATTTGCATGGTCTGGATCTCTCGACCTGAATGTACTCTTTGAGACAGGATGTTCGCCAGGGTTGCCAGATATGAAACTTTATTTTCATGCCAGACCATTACCCAAAATATGCCAGAAAATGCCAAATAAAATGTAACACTGTACTCACTTCACATCAAAAGCTCTAGATTAAATTCGTCACTGTCATTTTCACTGGAAACAGTGGAAGATAGAGCGTAAACCTTTTCGGATGTAAAATCTTTAAGCATTTTCTCAGATGGGATGAAGTATGTGCAAATCATCTATAATGATGGTATATTTCTTGTTCCGAAAATCATCAGTAAAGTCATCCTTAAGTGCAGGCGAAATAATATTTTTTATTAGGCATGAAACATTTAGTTATATGCAACTGTATGTGCTCCAGTGTACTCCCTCGACCATGCGCTCTCATGATTTCACTTAGATGATTAGTTTTATATATTGCACAATGGCAGGTCATGCCTACAGCAAGTTGCAATTAGCAGTCTTTGTTGTAATAAGCTGTGACCGGCTTTTTGACGGAGTTTTCATGCTGTGGTTTTCGGATTTTTCATGATTTGATACGCTACTAATTCTTGGCGCAACAGTGCACTGACACAGTTTGCGACGATGTAGGTCTACATTGCGTTTTAGTCACAAATCTGCATGTTGACTTTCTAACGGTAAAGCATGAACGGACGGAACCATGAAGGAAATGTGAGCACATCTTGTTAGGAAAAGCCAGAAAAAACAAAATATGCCAGTTCATTATCTTATGCCTGTTCAATTTCAAATATGTAAAATTTGTGGAATCTGCCCGCCCCCCCCCCCCCCCCCAATGCCAATATATCAACCCTGATGTCCGCCCATTCCGCTCTGTGGGCATGTCACGAGGGAATCACGAGAGCTCGGCGTGACAGCAGCAGAGATAGGGGTGAGATCAAAAAGCAGAGGGAGAGATGCTGTTGGGCAAGAGAGAGAGGTCGATGCTCAGTATTGTATCCTCGGGTGGGTTTTAGAGCCCTTTCTGGGGAAAAAGAAAAGAAAATACACCCCCCCCCCCCCCCAATCGAGACAAGCATGTCATAAAAGATGACTTATTAAGGTTTGCAGCGAATCTTGGAATGTCACTGAACGAATTAAGAAGAATTTAGAAGCAACATAGATGTAGTTTCTGAGACGAATGTTACGAATGCCTTGGACGCCAGAGTAACTAACAACGATTGTTTGAAAGAGGCTAATGAAAGTAGATCCCTTTATACTACAATAAGAAAGAGACAAACACTGTTCTTTGCTTTGGTCACATAATGAGAAGAAAGACATTGGAGAACATCGTGACAACTGGAAAGATCAGCGGGAAAAGGGGTAGAGGCAGACCAAGAGAGATGATGCTGGATGGGTCAAAGTGATGGCATGGAAGGATATTATCAAGAGAGCTGTTCCAGACAACCAGGGGTCACGATCTGTGGAGACGCATGGAAGCCTACGCCAGCTGGCATGGCACATGATGATATGTCAAATGTATTTACCCGAAAGGTGCAAATAGCTATTGTAATCAACAACAAAAAAAGCAAACCATAAAAGTGTTTTTTAAAAAAAGCGTGCACGCCGTCAATTTTCTCGTCTCTTTAAATTTTTATGTAAATCAACATCTTCAGAGCCTCATTTCACTCTTCTAATTACCTGTTAAATTCATGGAGGGCGTGGCCATTTGGGTAGAGCAAGACAAGCGCACTGATCTGATCCGTGATCCGTGGTGTGAAATGGCAAACGTGACCTACTCGCATGGCACACGATGATGATGGGTTACTTCTGTTGTCTTTTTTTTTTTTTTTTTTTACGTATCCAGAAACCATGAGTTGTAAACCCTTTGGCTCGGTACTATGGATATCGCAACCCTTCGGCATTGATTCCATTATAGGTACCGTTAATCTGGGAGAAATGTGGCTTTTCTGCCTACCCCCGGAAGTGAACCCGGACCACAAGGATTTCGTCACCCGGCCGCCGCGAAAGTCAGGTTTAACCAACTTCGCTAGAGAGCCGGGCTAAACTTCTGTTGTCAAGTTTCCACCTTTGCATATGATAGTGTTCTTTGTGCTATACGGAGGCATGTTACCTATGGTGTTAGCATTTAAGGCCAGATATAAAATGTCCCCCTCTCCAAAGCTTTGGCAATATTGCAAATACTATATGCCTATGCAATATGATCTCTCGGTAGGCCTGCGTTGTTAACATCAAAGGAAGGTAACATCGATCCGTCTGATTCAATCAGTTTGTCCCCTCTGTGATGCTACCTAAAGCTTTACCTACCATCCTGAGATTTAAAAATCTGGAGGCAGACCAACCTGGCAGATACCCTGTTCAACCTACACAGAAGTCATAATCAGTCATAATAACGTCTATACTAGCAGATAGAACCAGCTATCCTTTTGGGTAAGATTTGGATACGTTTGGAACAAAAGTGCGTCTTCTGGTATTTAGGTGAACGTGTAACACAATGGAACTACCAATCAAGCATCTTTCTTTAAAGTAACGCTTTGCGGCTGGTGTGTTTTTAAATTGTTGCTGTATTTGTTATTCGACATATGATTGGTTAATACAAAGTTATGTTCAATGCTTTGCAATGAATTCTGTCCGTTTTCACTTTTAGGGGTGTCTAGCTGGTTATGTTCTTAGTACACTTCTTTCCATAGCAAGGCGCACACGCCATGTGAAGGTGACAGGTTCTGTTCCCGGCAAGGCAATTATAGCTTTTGATTTGTATGTTGTCTGACGTGTTCTTCTATTTTTCTACTTCTTTCTGTGAGTGCCAAATGAAGCACTGTCTGTTTGTTTATTGTATATATAATATTTATACGGCTCAAGGGCCCCCCTCAGTTTATTTATGTGAATTCTGGTATTTAGACAAACCGCAGCTGTGACTGGCGACAGGTGTCGCTGCTAGAAACATGCTGCTTCCGGTGAGAGATTGGATGAAGCCTGCTTGTTGTTTCCAGAAAAGTCTTGGATTTTCTTGGCGACAGATTCCTTGACAAACTTCACAGCAGCACGCTTAGATGCTAGATCAGCAACTCTGCTGACTTTATTAGAAACTGTAGTTTGAACGTAACATTTAATATACGATAAATAAATTCATACATAATAAACAATGGCGAAGTGGGGAGAAGGAGATCCCAGGTGGATTGTGGAAGACAGACCTGATGCGACAAATGTCAACAACTGGCATTGGTGAGTCATTCTCTTCACTTAATTACTAAACAAATCTGTGTTTCTATATATTGATCAATTTAATCCACTATTACTGAATATGTTTTCTTTACAGTGATATAGCAATCTTCCATCTCTATCTACAAAGTTTTTTTTTTTTTTTTAATAGACACGCATCTCTTCAAAAAGGCCCAATTAATGGAAATTGGGGCTCTATGGCAAATTTGGCCGGTAAGGTGGACTGCTTCGGCCGGCTTAGCGGGGCTTAGTGGGAGTTATGTCCCTTGGCCAAACTCGGAACAAATCGCGGAAAAAGTCACGAAACAAATGACATACTTACCTATCATCATCCGGGTGCGTGTAGGGTGTCTATTATCGTCCTACGGTTGCGTGTAGGGCTGCTTATTGCGTGTAGGGTTGGTTGTTTGCGTAAGATAGATGAGGGGTAGGGTTAGGGTTTTAGGGGTGTAGGGTTAGGGTTTATGGGTATGGTTCGATTTGAAAATTTTCACGTAGGAGGTCTAAATAGTGGCCGACAATTTGACGTTTGTGGGAGTGGCGCCACTGAAACTTTGTCAAATATGACGACGCTAATAGCGGGCGGCTGGTGCCCAGTCGCTGGCGAATTGATCGTTTCACCAACATCCACAGGCCATCGATTGTTTGTGTGTGTATGTGACTGTGCGCGACGTTGACGACGTTGGTCTGGTGGACTACTACCTCGTGCAGATAGATGGCATGTCTTACGTTTGCGACGTTGCTGTAGCTTCACCCTAAGCCTAACCCCTAACCCTATACCCTAAACCATAACCCTAAACCATAACCCTAAACCCTAAACCTCCCCTCATCTTACGCAAACAACCAACCTACACGCAATAAGCAGCCCTACACGCAACCGTAGGACGATGATAGACACCCTACGCAGCCCTACACGCACCCGGATGATGATAGATAAGTATGTCATTTGATTCGTGACTTTTTCCGCTCGTTGTTTTGAGTGCGGCCACGGGGACATAACTCCCACTAAGACCCGCTAAGCGGGCCGAAGCAGTCGACGCATTCCAGCTTACCGGCCAAATTTGCCAGTAGAGCCGAAATTGGAATTCATATAAATATTGCAGCTATAATAATTATAGTACAATTTTATTCTTCTTTTTCTTTGCGTTCACCAGTAAACTCTGGCGGAAAGTTCTGGTTGTTGATCCACTTCTGGACTGCAGTCCTGTTCCAGAACCTGAGCGTTGCGTGTGCATCCCATTTTACATATCTGACTCATTTGTATGCAGACTGCTAGTTCCTTGCCTCTCAGTCAAAAAATGCACTCCGACTTTGAAGGAAGCTCTCACTTAGTTGACTCTTACGACATGCTTTTGGGTAGGCTGTGGTTCTATTTTTGTTTTCCTTATAACAGGGCCCTGGAACCCACACAGACACAGGGATCACAATTTTATTAACATGAACATGCTTAAAATAAAGACTCGGTTAGCATGTCTTGTCTTGTCTTATCCTTTCGTTTATTTACATTCATGAAGATAACATCCTGTAACATTTCTTCACAGGGTTGAGAAAAATGCAACAAATTGGTCGAAAGAAAGAATTAAGGAACTGCTTGTGGGACTCAAGGTGGAACATGAAAAAGGTAGAAATATTGTGTTGGTGTTAGCGAGATCATGTTTAAAGTAATTTCTTTACTCTTCTTGTTAAAAGATTTATCATAGCGAAATAATTGAGGGAGGCTATCCTCCGAATAACGGGCACAAAAGATGGCGGCCAAAAAACAGGCCTCAGTCACGTGTCAGTTGCGCACTTCCGGCGACTACCACAACCGCCGAGAGTATCCCATGCGGCTGACGGGGCGTGGATTGAGGTTAAACTAGATGGCTAGGACTCGGGAGCAAAGCTGCGGGAGATGCGGAAGCTGCTGCTCATGAGTCCCCACCCATCTAGTTTAACCCCAATCCACGCCGCATGGGTGATGCTCTCGGCGGTGGCGGTAGTCGCCGGAAAACCGGAAGTGCGCAATTGACACGTGACTGAGGCTCTGTTGTGTTTTTGCGACCGCCATCTTTTGTGCCCAATATTCGGAGGATAGCCTTGAGGGGTTTATGGAATTCCTAATTTTGCTGTTGGAGGTTATAAGAAATAACAGGATCTACATGCATGGTTGTGTCATTGGTTTGGGTCCTGACGGAGCCAGACATTTTTTTTTAGCAATGACCTTGGTGTGTGTGTGTTTATGCTAGAATTCAGACATGCTGTACGGTTATTAATTTTTTTTTAATGCCTATTTTAGTTTTGAATTTAAGCCTGGACAGTGCCTGTTTGGCCTGTTCTTTTCTATTTTATTGGCAGCTGTGTGTTTTCTGTGCGGCTCTGTAATTATGTCTAGCTGTGAAAGTTTCCTTCCAGCTCTGTAATCTAACACTGTGTTTTCTGCCCAGCTTGCTGATGTTTTATCTAACTGATTTTCTATCCATCTTTGGTGGTTTCTTTCAAGCTTGCTGATGTTTTATCTAACTGGTCTAACTGATTTTCTATCCATCTTTGGTGGTTTCTTTCAAGCTTGCTGATGTTTTATCTAATAACTGATTTTCTATCCATCTTTGGTGGTTTCTTTCCACCTTGCTGATGTTTTTCACTTCCAGATTTTCTATCCCATCGTTGGTGGTTTCCACTTGCTGACATTCATATATTGATTTTCCTCCCCCCCCCCCCCCTAATAACTCCCCCCCCCCCCCCCCCCCCCATCCCCCCCCCCCCCCCCCCCCCCCCCCCCTACCTAATTTCCTTTTAGTGGTTTCTTTCCAGCTTTATGATGTTTCCATTCCAGGTTAGTCACCTGACATTCATATATTGATTTTTTTCCCCCTTAATTTCCTTTCAGGGACATGTGAAATCACGGAGCTGACCCAGATTGAAGGCGAAGCCAGCGCCAATAACAGAAAAGCAAAACTAATATTCTTTTATGAGTTTGAAATAAAAGGCGAATGGTCGGGTAAGGGATTTGTTGTTTTGCTTGTATCAGATACTTGTATGCTCACATGAAATGTTTGGTGTTTGTATATAATTTGCTGCATGTGTTGTTCCCACAGTCTGTCTGATAATATAATGGCTCTCCTCCGAACTTTGTCCTTATATTATGGCGGCCAAATAAATACCCTAACAGGGCCTCAGTCGTGTGTAAATGCGGACTTCCTCCGACGAACACATCACGGCAAAATTAGGATTACTATCCATTGACAGTTTTGAGAAATGAAACAATACACATGATAATGACATGGTGGGGAGACCACTCGCTCCCACGCAGGTTAGTGATAGTGTTCTTTTAATTAAACTCGCCGCTGAGCGTATCCCCTGGGGGGTTTAAACTAGATTCCTGGAGCTCACGAGCAGCAGCTACCGCATCTCCTGCAACTTCCTCCAGTTTATTTGCCCATGAGTCCCGGCCATCTAGTTTAGCCCCCCATCTACGTGTAGCGGCGCGGGGGATACTGTCGGCGGTGCAGCATAGTTGCCCGTTATTCGGAGGCAATCCTAGTTTTGGCGCGATCTGTTCCTCGGCAGGCACTCCGCATTTTACAAAGACTGAGGTCCTGTCAGGGTATTTGTTTGGCCGCCACAATATGGGAACGAAGTTCGGAGGGGAGCCTATAATTTATAACTTTGTCTCCGATAGTTAAGTGAAATGGATGTGCACACAAAATTCGACTTTTGGAACAAGACTAAAGTCCAGAGGTGGACCAATGGCCAGAGAATTTTTTTGCTGGCGTTTGCGTCCAGTGGACACAAAGAAGCCGCCGCCCTGTATAGAGAGAGAAATTCCCTGTGTATGTTCTGGGGCCCTATTATAAGGGAAACAAGAACAGACCCACTGCCTACTTAAAAGCATGTCGTAAGAGTCGACTAATTGGGAGCTTCTTTCGAAGTCGGAGTGCATGAAAGGCAAGGAACCAACAGTCTGCATACAAATGAGTTAGATGTGTAAAAAGGATGCACATGCAACACTCATATTCTGGAACAGAACTGCAGTCCAAAAGTGGATGAACAGCCATAACTTTCTGCCAGTCTACAGCTGGTGAACGCAAAGAAGAAGATAGAAGAATGTGCCTGTATTCACTGTTGATCAAAGTAAGTAGTGTAATGATAAGATATTGGGTAACCAACCAGGCATCATATTACTGATGATCAAAGTAAGTAGTGTAATGATAAGATATTGGGTAACCAACCAGGCATCATATGTCTTCCATATACAGGTCTGCTGAAGGATGATGTCAATTCGTATAAGGGAAAATTTGTGATACCTAACCTGAGTGAAGAGCATGAGCCAGAGGCAGTGGACGTGAGTATCTCTTTGTTGTGGCCGTTTCCATGAGGATTGATTTTGATTTGCTTCTTGTTGCCTTCTGTATACAAACCCCCACCTCCTGCCATCTCCTGATAAGATGCAGTTTTTCTCTTTTTTGAAGCCCCACCCTGGCTCTTGCCAGGGGCTGCAATATAGCCCGACCATAAATATGGTCTAAGTTTCTGAACACGGTTTCTGGGACCTCTCCACGGTGATCCTCATCCACATGGTGGCACTTTGTGTCATCTGGTGTTTATCGTTTGTGTGATGTCCTGGTGGGGTGAAAGTCTACTACTACTATTCTGTATACAAGACCTTCGGCATGATCCATCAGTTGGCCAATTTTGCTTATTCCATCAGAAATTCCCTAATAACTTATTCCATCAGAAATTCCCTAGCAGCTTATTCCTTCAGATGTCCCATGAGCAGCTTATTCCATTAGATATTCCCCAACAGCTTATTCCATTAGATATTCCCCAACAACTTATTCCATCACAAGTCTCCAACTTCATCTGCCATCCTTCAACAGATTTTCCATGCTTAATAATCCACTATAAATGTCCAGCCTCATTCATGAGAGGTCTCCTGCCTCCTTCCTGTGTCCAGACTCCTCCATCATTTGTGTCTTTATTACAGCCATTCATAGTTTCAACTCCTCACCTATTGAATCTCAAATTTGAAGGAGGCTGTTGACGATTCAGTTCACAGAAATGAAGTGCAATTCTCTTTTGTTATGAGAGAATGGAGAATTTTAGACGAGGGCAGACAAAGACCCATAAAACAGACACTGAATGGGAAACGATTGGATTGAGGAAGTAAGGAAATCCAAGAGAACTAGCAGACAGACAATGGTGAGAGAAGCTTATGGTGTTGGGCTCGACTCCATACATGATATTGCACAAAAATAACAGAGTAAAATTAATGGGGGAGGGGGGGGGGGAGAAACAGTGAACCCACTGGTGTTTGATGGCACAACAGGTTGATATTTATGAATAGAAAGAGCATAGGTGACTCATCATATAAGAAAAGGCAAATGAAGCTTATGTGGCATATCAACAGAAGAGGTGGGTTTCAGAAATAGGCCTGATGTGCAAAAATACCAGGCAAGAGAGTAGGGAAAAGACAAAGATAAATGTAGAATATAAACTTTGTTGAAACACGAGGAGGCTTGAAATGAAAGTCTGAAAAGTGTGACAGAAATTACAGTAGCCTTGTCATTGTCCTGTAACCTGTCAGTATTGTTGTCAAGGGTGTTGAAGCACATGGCATCACGATGCAACAACAGTGATGTCATAATGACAGGTTAAAGATGGCCACCCCACTTTTGATTCTCACCAAGTGTTATAAGATTACAAGACAGTGGCATGCTTATTGTAATTTCTATCACATTTTCAGCCTTTTTACTTGAACAAGCAACAGTGAGGATTGGAGAGGTGTTGTTGCCAGTCAGTTTTGGAATGAGGCATCATAAGAAGAAACTTTGCATCTTATATTGAGCTGCCATTAATCATTTTTTTCTGTAATCAAAATCACTTTGGGGTGGGTTTACAGCTAGGTTCCTAACTTGCAAACAGGCATCAGTCACAGCATGATGATGATCAGTCACGGTTACGATGGTTTGGATATGTATGCAGAATGGGATCAAATCTGCCACCATGGCAGGCTAAGAACCAAACCTCCAGGGTCTGCTATGAAGACAACATCCAACAGTCCCTGGCTGTCAGAGGACTAGAACCGAACAAAGCCAGAAAGAAAACTGCTGATAGACACATCTGTCAATCTCTCTGGCAAACCTCTACACCACAAGGTAGAAAAGGAGCAACTAAATAAAGTTATAACAGGCTTATGGGGCAGTGGGTCTGTTCTGTTTTCTCCCAAAAATGGATTCACCACTGGAATATTATTGATGTAACAATGAAGTGTTTGCATTGTTGTTGAAATAGAAGTATTCTCACGTTTCAGGTGACTGTGACGGTAGATAAGAATTGTAATGAGGCTGAGCAGTTGAAAGAAATCTTCAGAATTGAAGGTGCCAAGTGTATACGAAAACAGCTATCCCAGTACATATCAGATTTAAAAACGGGTAAGTCTACTTTGTTTTTTTTTTTTTTAACTAAAGTTGAGGTGGGGGTGTCTCATAGCTTGAGAGTCTTTTAAATTTTTTTTTCGGCTTCATTGCACCAGGTTTTATTCCATTTGAGTAGGTATCTCTCGGCAGAATGATAAGCCTTTAAAAGTGAATTTTTGAACCAAAAGGTGCGGCTGTGAAGAACCCCCACAACTTTTAGAGCACAAGACAAACAGCATGACTAATTCGCCACAAAGACCCCCTTGTGTTTTATAAATTTTCTTTTTTTTTTTTAATATAGCAGGGTTTAATTTTATATTAATTAATTTTTTGCTTTTTTAGAAATTAGGTCAACAGTCAAACCCACTGCTCTAACAGGCATGTTGAAAAAATTCGACTAATTTTTCTTTCAAAGTCGGAGTGCTTCTGACTGAGAGGTGAGAAACCAACAGTCTGCATACAAATCTAGCTAGATTTGTTAAATGATTGTGCGCACACAGTTCAAGTTCTGCAACGAGACTAATGTTCAAAAGTGAACAAACAGCAAAAGCTTCCTACCGAATTTTAGAGCCAGTGAATGCAAAAAAAGAAGAAGAATTTAATGTTCATCAGCTTATTCTGGCATTTGTTTTCAAAATCATTCAACTTCCGCTCACTCTTGTGTATCAGTTTGCAATTACGAAAATATTTTCCGTCTTCTATTCATACAGAGTATGGTCAGAATATAATTCTTCCCACAAAAAATAATCAAGGCTCGGCAAATATTACGGGTGTATCGAGCAAAGAGGTAAGAAAAGGTATTGTAGTAATTATCACCTTTGTAATCTTGTGTAAATGAGTAAACAGATGAGCTTGCAGGTAAGGCTACAGTAAAGGGGGGAGGGTCTTCTCACTTTAAAGTGTGACTGGCACAGTGTGATGTGTTTTACCAGGCTGTGTGTGATGTTCACACCTTTTGAGCGAACACGTCCGTTTTTGGTAGTTCTGTTTGTCACCCTACTTTATACTGGAGGGGGAGGGCAGGGGTGTGTCAGTGGGTCTTTTTAACCCCCCAAAATGGATGTGCAGGTCCGACAAAGGGCATTTTGCTAATAATTCTGTGTGGTTATTAGGGATTAGGTGTTCTCAGGTGGAGCAGTAGATGTGTTTCTTTCCCCTGGAAACCACACTGGACACATTATAGTTTGATGTGTTGATTGTATCAAGTGTTCTCAGGTGGAGCAGTAGATGTGTTTCTTTCCCCTGGAAACCACACTGGACACATTATAGTTTGATGTGTTGATTGTATCAAGTGTTCTTAGTGTCTCTGATCTTTAAGTGAGAAACTACAATCCGTACATTTTGTTGGTGTACATTATATGAGGTCTGATCGTACCCTGGGCCATATGGTCAGAGCTTTTTTTTTACCTCTAAAAAGGTGACAGTACTCACCACAGAGCGTCTGTTACAGCAGTGCTAAAGAAGTTACCAGTACTGCTTAACACCAAGAAAAAATGCCCAGCCTATCGAAATGAATAAACTTCATCTCCAATAGGTTTTGATTCTAAAACGGCTGCGAACAAACGGTTATTTTAACTAGCTTCAGTGTTGTTGTTGGTGTTGCTCTAATCTTTTACATTTGGCCTTAAAAGGGCAGCTGGTAAGTTGTGAACATCAAGGCTGTGATACCTGTGTGGTTCAGCCCAATGCATCCGATTTCAGCAAGCCCCTAATTAATCACCTGACAGAGGGCTGTGGATGTTGTTCTTTCCCTCCACCCAAAATTTGGCCCTGGAACACACAGGGTTACTTTAAATAGTCTACAGTTAATACAGGGGAGGCGATATTGATGGGGCATATTTATACTTATATTACTGTGAGCAATAACTATTGTGCAGCTTTAGTTATAGCTTAATAGGGAATATAAGGATTGGAGTTACTGTGTCTGTTACATGCTTCTTTTGTTGCCCACTATCATCACTGATCTGAGGGGCATCATCTGAAGGGAAATAGCGGTCATCCCAGCCACAACCTGCGCAAAACTATGCTGAACATATCTGTTGTAGAACCAGAGAATGTTCTCATCAAGGTGGTATCCATCTAAGGGATGGTCATTTCCAGACACTGAACACAGTGCAAAACTCCTGTCCTTTAGCAGTGTTATCCCACACATCTGGTAATAAATGTTGCTTCCTACGTGCTCCACATATTCTTCTTCAGCATTCTGATCCCGTGAGGTTCGTTGCTGCAAATATCACCCGCCTCCACTCATCTCTCTTGTTGGCCTTCTCTTTCCAGTTGGTGACACTAAGTGTTTGCAGATCTGTCTGGATATTATCTCTCCGTCTTTTTGGTCTCCCTCGTGGTAAACGATCTTTCATCTCCCTGGTGTATGCAGTTTTTACTTCTCTGTCATCTGACAATTCTTTCAATATGCCCCAACCATTTCATTCTATTAGCTCTCATGGTGCCAGTGATCAGTGGTGATTTAAACAGATTATGAATTTCGTTGTTGCTTCTCTCTCTCCATTCACCGCTGTTTGCATCTTTAATGGGTCCAAAGATTCATCGTAAGATTCTGTTTTTGAAAACCTGAATTAAGGCTTCATCTCTTTTAGTTGTGCTCCCAGTTTTAGGGCCATATAACACGACTGGTCTTATCGTTTTGTATATTTTCATCTTGGTGTTGCTCCACATACGCATTTGAAATGTGTCTTATCAGTATCGCCCACCTCGTACAAGTAACTTTTAACTTTTTATAGTGTGCTATGTCATGCTTATTTTCATGTGTAGACTTGTCCGTTGCTTATTTTTTCTGTTTTTTGTTCTCGTCTTAGAACAAACCGAAGCAAGAGCTGAACAAATTTATTACATCTGATAACTTAAGTTCTGCTGAATATGGAGTGAAAATACCCACCAAAACACTCACCATGACGGAATCATTTCAATGCCAGGCCTCGGATCTGTACCGGGCGCTGACATTTAAACCAGTAAGAATTATTTGTGTGATTTTCGTGTTTAGGCATATTTCAGAGGTTGTGGTAAAGGATTAGGGGGAGGGGGTTGGTCGTTGTGCTGCAGTTTCCTTTTCTGTCCTGGGGCCCTGGTTGGTGATCAGCATGATGTTGACTACATCATTTATCCAGTGTCTAGTTCTTATGGATATGGGTCTAGAACAGCTGTTCTCAACCTGTGGGTCGCCACATTTTTAGGGATCAAGCAACCTTTTCACAGGGGTCGCCTGAGACCATAAAAAAAACGCACATTCACTGAAGTTGGGAAGTAGCAACGAAAATAATTTTATGGTTGGGGGTCACCTCAGCATGAGGGAATGTATTAAAGGGTTGCGGCATTAGGATGGTTGAGAAAACATACTAACACACAAAAAAAAACTTGATGCCGCTTTTTTTTTTTTTTTAATGTATTTCAAATTGTTTGTTTTGCAAGACAACATGGTTAATTCATAATTGTTAATATTTACGTAAAAATAATTCAGCTAAAGCTATGAGAGTTACAGTCTTTACTGAAACCTGACAGGCATAATCTAGTAGTGTTTGCTATGACAGTTGAAATTCTTTGTTTTTCCTTAAAGGCGTGTTCTGTTATGGTATACAGCTTGACTGTGGTATCTGCGCCGTTGGGCCCAGCACATCCGATTTCAGAGGATCCTTAACTATTTGCTTTTTAGAGCATGGGTGTTATACAGCTGCAGCTCTGTTCTTTTTCCCTTGGAAACCACACTCTGGGCACATTATAGTTTAAGGTGTTGCAGATGGTCATGAAGTAGAATGTTGTACTCAACACGTCATGCTGGACACTTACCTGATACCATATCACTTTTTCTACCCTGTTAACTTTCATGGCCAGGGTGTTTTGATACATCCCTTGTGCACCATCGTGCTGTTTGACTCTTACCCTTTCTTCCCAGCAGCCATACTAAACATTAGTCCTTGTTCCCAAGCCGAGCCATTATATGTACAGCCTTCTTCCACTTCAGAATGTATGACACACAAACAACAAAGATATCAGCAGGTGTCACTAAATTTACAGTTGCTGCATAGAAATTAGTAAACGGCATCTTGTCTCGAAAGCTGAAATACTTTGTTCATATCAAATGCCATGGTTGATTGGGGAAAAAAAAAAAAAGCAGAAGGCATGGGACCAGGAAGGAGGGGTAGGGCCGACCAACACAAAGATTGGCACAGGATATAAGTAACTCCTTGATTATGTAAGTACATGAGGCAGGAGAGCTGGTGAGAGACCGAGTTTTTTCAGCCAGACCATGATGATAGCGATGTTCTGCAAAGGACCTGCTACACAGTGACATAGTAAGTAATTTTTTTTTAATTCCTCCTGTTACAGAAATTCATTCACACGTATCAACACCAACGTGAAGAGGATTTAGATTGTTCCTAAAAATTTAGATTGTTCCTAAAATATTTGACGAATGATATTATATTGATTAATTTTCACAGATGGTTGAGGCTTACATGGGTAGCAACATCGTGTTTGAACCAGCAAAAGGCGAAAAGTTTTTATTAGCTGGTGGAAATATAACGGGGGAATTTCTAGAGCTGGTAGGTGTTATATCATTTGTTGTTTGTTTAGCAGTCAGGGTGAAGGTATTGCAGAAAATAATGTTAGCAGTAGTATTATTTTTGCTGGTCAGTAGTTCCCGGTTACCTGAGACCTTTGGACTGTCTTATTTTCAAAGGTTGGACTTGGACCTCATACTTTTTAAAAGTCTTACTGAACAAACGAATTGTTATTTATAAATGGGAGACACAGAAAAAAGGTTTGTATTCTTTTTCCTCCTTCACCGGCAGAAAGTCCTGATTGTTCATCTATTTGGTCTTTTGGCTTTTTGTCAGGTCGTGAGTTTTGCATGTACAGCCGTTTTACTGGCTTATTTGTGTGCTGTTGGTTGTTCCTTGCCATTCAGGCAGATGCACTCCGACTTCAAAGAAAGCTCCCAATTAGTCGACTACGACCTGCTTGTTGGGGAGGCAGTGAGTTGTCTATTCTTGTTTTCCCCACAATTTGATCCGTTAAATCACCAGATTGGAAACAGCTTTAGGAAAAGCAAAGAATTGTAATACTGTCACCTGCCTTTTGGTTCTTGAGCTGGGAGAGAGAAAAGAGAGCTCGGCAACATGGTTCCCTTTGGTGACTGATTGGAAGAAAGGTAGATGAGCCTGTTCCACATGGATGCAAGATCCCAATAGACTCGAACACTGCACTGGACTGAGTTACTGGGAGGGGTGTAGTGAGTGATCAGCAAATTGACACCTCTTTAGGTTGTGTATCAGGATGATAACGAGGAATAAGGACAGTGTAGTTGAGTTAAGAATCAACTCACAGCACTTGAGGCATTCCCATTAGTGCGGCATCCTTACCTTCAGCAGCCAGTTCCAGTTTTGATGGTGCCAGTAGCAGTTCTGTCTTGCCTTTATTCTGAGAGCTGAATGTCGGCCAGATCCTCTGGCCATTGCTTCCTGCACCAATCCATCCAGACCTATCTGTGTCTTTTACTTGATAATGATATTGCAGACCAGTGTAATGAATGATCAAACTGTTTGTTTGCATTCACCGGCTGAGGAAAATCATGGTTGTTCATCCATTTCTGGACTTTGGCTTTGTGACCTAAGTTTTGAGTGTGCATCAGTTTGACAGATCTTGCTTATTTGTATGCAGATTGTTGGTTCCTTGCCTCTTAGGCTGATGCGCTCTGACTTTAAAATAAGTCTTAAATTAATTGATTCTTGCGACATGCTTGTTGTGTAGGAAAGGGGCTTTTCCATGTTTTCCCAACAATGGGGTGTAGGAAAGGGGCTTTTTCATGTTTTCCCAACAATGGGGCCTTGGAACCATGCAGGGGATCAAGACATAGTGATGCCTGTCTTTGTTTTTCTTTGTTCACCCTCGGAAGAGCGGTTGTTCCTCTGTGGGCTCCAGGGCTGCCTTGTGGGGGGAAACGAGAATAGACCCACTGTTTCCCCATCAGGCATGTTGTAGGAGTCCACTATTTGGCGCTTTCTGTAAAGTCGCATTGCATCTGCCTAAGAGACAAGGAACAAACAGTCTAGATTAAAGAAATTCGGATCTTTAAGACAAAATTGTATGGTGAAGGAGGCCAGAAGTGCTGACTGCTTTGCATCCCAGATATCTGAAGGATTGCAGATGACAGAAATTATTGGAAGAATCGACTGCAAGAATTTCTGATGTATAAGAAATCCTAGAGATTGATAAACAATCTAAACTTCCCGCCCGAGTTTACTGTCAGTGAAGGCAAAGAAAAGGACAGTTGGAACATTGTAGGCTGGTGCACCTCTAGACTGTGACATTTGCATCTTTTGGTCCAACATTTTTCAGCTAACCGTTACTTAGTCGCCTATTAAAAAAGCTGATAAGGAGCTTGTAGAGACAACATCGGTGATCAGTTTGCGATGTAGTTACTACATATATGAGGCTAACAATTTCCCATGAAATTAATAGAGAAGCTAACCCAGATAAATAATCCTGCATAATAAAAGTAACAGACCTTCAAACACTTGTCAGTGAACAACTGGTAAGAAAAGAGAAAGCCAATCACAGAAACAAATGCAGGCTTTTTTTGTTTTTAGCTTGCTTTGTAAAGGTTATAATTGTGACTAGGTTATGTGTACCATATAAAATGGCTCAGCATTGCTCGCCGCCAAGTAGACCTGAAAAGAACTTTTGCTGTGTTTAATGCGATCGGGGGGGGCGATGACCTAAATATTGTCGTGACCGGCGACAAAGCCGTCTGTCGGCGGGCCAGTTACTGATGTTGATGAATGCAGGCTGGTGATATCTGAAGTAATGAAACTCAGTAGGCTCGAATTGCTAAAGAAGAAGTGCTTTGTTCAGTATCTGTTTTACTTTCAATTCATCTGTGCTTAAATTGACATGTTTCTCTTCGATCACAGATACCAGACCAAAAGCTGGTAAAACGATGGAGAGTGAAGTCTTGGCCACCAGAACACTACTCGGAGGTCACAATCGAGCTTGTAGACAGGGAAGGTACCACCACTTTAAATCTGAAACAAACTGGCGTGCCAGCGGCCCAGTTAGACAGTACCAGGGAAGGCTGGTCGGAAAACTACTGGAACCGCATGCGCCAAATTTTTGGATTTGGTGGCCGGATATTTTGACACGTCGACTCGTGATTTTATTTTACTTACTGCGCTGTAGTTTATATTTAAACATTGCCATGGGCATCATGGGGAATTAACCCGACTTGTGTCTTGAGTTCATTGGTTAAACTTTTTGACACCACTGTTTAGTCGATTAACTCTTTCCGTACCAGATTTAATAAAAGATTCCAAAGGGAAGAAATAGCCATGATGAAAAATCGTGGATGAATTATTTAGAGCGACGCTATACACAGTGGTAGTGGCAGTTTTGGGAAGTCAGATTTCTTTAGTGAGTTCTGACCAAAAATGTAAACACGGAGGGCACATTTTGCTATGCAGAGTAATCAAAAGATCGATTCCCTAACACATCAGACATATCTGGGGACTGAAAGGGTTAATAGGTATTTTGTGTTTGTGACACATTTTTCTTTTTAAACTTGAATATCTCAATACTGAAGCTAATGAAATTGTTTTATATAAAAAGAAATAGATGTACTCTGTGCAGTCACAGCATATTTATATGGCATGTGTGTGAGTAAGAGAACTGTTACTGTATCCAGTGAGTGAGCAGGTGATAGGACAGCGACCTCAGAATTTTTTTTTCTTTTTCTTCAGTATTTTCAATGTGTCATTTGGTTTTACTGAAACTGATGTATGTGGAAATAAAAAATAAAATGACTGAAGATGTTGGCTTGAAATGTTTCTATCTTGTGAGATAAGTGACCGAGTGCATTGTAAGTCTTCTTCTTCTTTCCTTTCACTGGCTTGTGAGATAAGTGACCGAGTGCATTGTGAGTCTTCTTCTTCTTCTTCTTTCCTTTCACTGGCTGTGAGATAAGTGACCGAGTGCATTGTAAGTCTTCTTCTTTCCTTTCACTGGCTGTGAGATAAGTGACCGAGTGCATTGTAAGTCTTCTTCTTCTTCTTCTTTCCTTTCACTGGCTGTGAGATAAGTGACCGAGTGCATTGTAAGTCTTCTTCTTCTTCTTCTTTCCTTTCACTGGCTGTGAGATAAGTGACCGAGTGCATTGTAAGTCTTCTTCTTCTTCTTCTTTCCTTTCACTGGCTGTGAGATAAGTGACCGAGTGCATTGTGAGTCTTCTTCTTCTTTCCTTTCACTGGCTGTGAGATAAGTGACCGAGTGCATTGTGAGTCTTCTTCTTCTTCTTTCCTTTCACTGGCTGTGAGATAAGTGACCGAGTGCATTGTAAGTCTTCTTCTTCTTCTTCTTTCCTTTCACTGGCTGTGAGATAAGTGACCGAGTGCATTGTAAGTCTTCTTCTTCTTCTTCTTCTTCTTTCACTGGCTGTGAGATAAGTGACCGAGTGCATTGTAAGTCTTCTTCTTCTTCTTCTTCTTCTTTCACTGGCTGTTAGATAAGTGACCGAGTGCATTGTGAGTCTTCTTCGCGTTCACTGGATGCACTTTGACTTCGAAGGAAGACCCTCAGTTGGACGACTCTTAGGACATGCTTGTTGGGGTGGCAGTGGGTCTTATCTTGTTTTCTCCACAATGGGTCCCTGGAACCCACACGGGGGAGCATTGTAAGTAGTCAGGCAACTAGCGGCCACTTTGTAGCAAAAGGGTCGCTCCATACTTGTTCCATTTTAGTGCCAGCAAAAACCACACAGAACATCCATCCCTGTCCCTTGTGACAGCAAAATTGACGCAGTTTCAACACAGCCAGTACACACGGGTAATAAAAATATAAAGTAGTCGTCAGAGGTGCTAACACAAACAGCCAGGCACAAGAAATGCAGTTCATTGTTGATGGGTGCAGCAGTTGCGACTGATCAGTTGTAGCACTCGCCATTAATTGCATAAGACACCCTACTTCTATGGCAGCAGGTTACTCGCCACTTTCCTAATTTGCTTTTCACATTACAGACTATGTTGGGTACAGCTGAAAATCATTCCAAATGAAATGTTGCAGTTCAGCATCGCGCTACAAACTTAAAACTCATTAGATGGGCAAAGAAACTATATCCTCTGTCTACATATGGAGGAAAATGCAACAGTTAACTTTTGTCAGAAGTAAAAACTTGCAATGACTTGCCTGCCAATCCATCATAGTGGCTGGAAGTAAAAGCTTGTGTTGCCAGTTACATGTGTCATCCTCTACCGAGAACAGGGCAATAAGTAAAGAACCTTTTCAGCCAGAAACAGGATGGGTTATGAAACTGCTGGCTGCTTTACTCTTTTAGTACCAGAAGGTTTCGTAGAAAAGGCCAGTAAAACATCCATGATTAAAATTGATCAATGTCATCACTTTCAATATAGTAATACAACAGCAGTAGTGACATTGGATTAGTCTGTCTCCCCCTTCCTTTTCCAAATGACAGGATACATGCTGTTCTTGCATCATATGTTACTTAAAATCCTTAATAACTAAAATAACAGATGGACGTTGAATTAAGAGCAAGGTATACAAGGGAAAATCAGTATTTTAGAGTTGGGTTGTTGAGTCAAGAATTGACATCACAGCACTCGGGGCATTCCCATGGGTACTCCGTCCTCATCTTCAGCAGCCAGCGCAGAGTTTCAGTACTGATGGTACCGGTCACAATCTCGTTTTATGTCCATCTTGCCCTTACTCTGAGTGCAGTGAGCTGGCCAGACCCTTTGGTTACACCCAGGTGCCTCATCAGTATTTTAGAATGCACAGATATCCCAGTACAATATGCAAGTAATAATATTATGAACAAATTTGCATGTTCCAATTGACACTCATAATAAGACAAAAGGAGGGCGCATATTCTATTCCTCCAATCCGTTCTATCATATGCAGTCGTCCTCTCAACATCGTCGATGAAATCTACTCCTGCGTATTTGATTACTGATTTAGGAATCGACTTCATAAGCTTACATATAGATCAGAGCAATTCAGCTGTGTTTACTCAGAGGCCAAAGTTTTCAAAATGTGGCTACAAGTCCGAGCAGCAGCACAGAAAGATCATTAATATAATCAATCTGCACTGATCCGCGGGCCAATTGGTCTCTGTGGGTTGCCAGTTGAATAGCCCTGCCATAGATGTTCCATCGATAGTAGCACATTAATTAAAGTGCAGTTGCAACTGTTCCTGTAGCCAAAGCACTCATCTTTCAAACTACAGCTGAACTTTATCTGCAAAGCTTGTTATGTTCATGTAATAATATGAGTATCAAGTAAAACAAGAGGAATATGAGCAAAGGAACTTAAGTAGGAAATGTGAGCGAGTGTACGGTTTCGACGCCAACGCTACTGGATTAAGTCATTGGCGCGACACTGTGAGCAGTCTCGCTTCTCCCCTCCCCCTCACTTTCCCAAAATAATGCTTTTCATTTGTGCAGCAACTGAGTCGTGGTATTCAGTATAGCCGGTTTTCGTATGGGCTGGCGAAATGCCTTTTGTAATAATTTTTCGTGTGTATAGCCAGCGCATCGTGACCGACTACTTTTACCAATGGAAAACTATATTTCGTTTGGATCTAGCGCCTCTAGCAACTGCATAATGCATTTATTGCGTGTGCATATTTCTGAGTTTTGCCGAGACTAATTGTCTGTTTACCTTTTTTTTAATGGGACAGAGAAGGATATTTTATTTCATTTTCACTGGCACGGGAAACGAGCAAGTAGAGAGGGGGCGTGGGGGCCTACCTTCGCGTAGGTGGATACAAGGCATTGGTTATGAAAGCACATAGGGCTGGACAACTGACTAGAGAAAGACGTTCTATAGATGAATTGTTGATGGATTCGATTGAGGATGATATGCAGTACGGGAGATGGCAAAAATGTTTTAAAAGTTTATTAAATAACTGAGGCAGCCCAAAAAAATTGAGACCATAGTCAGCCGAAGTCAAATAAGTTCTAGAAGTTTACATGATTGACAAATTATTTGCTCAGGGTTACCACGGCCGTCGGGCCTCGAGAGTGGGTAATCTTGACTGTTTTATATAGCACCAAACATGCAATTCCGCTCACTGAGAGTGCATTTATTTACCATAGCTTTGAATTACTCTACAAGGAAATATGTAATTATTAAATATACATTAATTTTCTCCATTTAGTTTTATATTAAATGTAAGGTTAATTATTATTTCAAAGTTTAAAAATTATGTAATTTTTGTTTACGGTAAAAAAATTGCGAAACTTAAAACGGTTATTTTTACAAATTATTAGTTATTGCCCTTAGTTTGTCTGAATAAGGTGGTATTACATTTATCTCCCATCAAAGATTTTGATGGCATAGTGCTTAAAACTGAAAGAATAAACTCATCTAGGAACGTTGCAGTAAAGCCTTGTAATGTATAGTTTCCTAAGTGCTCAGTCTCCATGGGCTCTAAAGATGGGTCACACATGGAGAATGAAGGATGGTAGAGTCTCTAAGGACATAAAAATACTCTACGGTGAATTACAAATGAGTTTAACTGACTGACTGACTTTCTACCTCACCAGGACATCACACAAGCGATAAACACCCGATGACACAATGTGACACCATGTGGATGAGGATCACCGTGGAGAGGTCCCAGAAACCGCGTTCAGCCATTAGACCATATTTATGGTCGCACTATATTGCGGCTCCCGGCAAGAGCCAGGGCTTCAAATAACGAAAATTTCATCATTAAAAAGACGATGAATACAGTGAATGAGTATAAGATGTTGAGGCCGGCCTCTACTACGATATAAAAATATGTGCAAGCGGAACATGAGTGATACAAGTATTGAAGTAGTTTCGTGGAAATAAAGTGCCATGGGCTGTGTTTGTCGAGGTGACAAACCATGAAAGGAATGAAAATTCAGGAAGAAATGATCGCAGAAAGAATTTTGTGCTGGGTGTCTGAGAAGAAACATACTAAAAACAATCTTTAGCAACAGTGATCCTGAAATTTGGCAGCAAACAGCAGCTATAAGAATTAACAATTGTTTAGGTACATTTCAAAGCATAAAGAGGGGTGTACGACAGGGACGTGTACTGTCACCTGAGTTGTTTTCAATATACAGTGAATATATAATGAGAGCTTTAATTCATATGCCCGGAATTGTGGTTGATGGGCATAATTTAAACAATTTACGTTATGCTGATGACACAGTCTTGATTGCAACAAGTCAGAAAGAACTACAGGAAATGATAGACATTGTGGTGTTAGAATATACAGTGGAAGAGTGGGCCTCAGTTTGAATAATGGGAAGACAGAAGTAATGGTGGTATCAAAGAAACGAATTATTCTTAAATGTGTAATAAAAGTCGATGGTGTTATTTTAGGAAAAGTACAGAAATTTAAGTATCTGGGCACAGGGATATCATCAGATGGAAGATGCATAACTTAAATAAGAAACAGAATTGGACAGGCAAAAACTGCATTTTATAAAATGAAAAACATCTTGTGCAATATACCTTGTCATTGAAAGTTAGAAAAATAATTCTTGCTTGCTACATACATCCAGTTTTAACATATGGCTGTGAATCCTGGACAATCGGTAGGCAGGCCAAACAATTTATAGAGGCCTCAGAGATGTGGTTTTACAGAAGAATGCTTAGACGACGGTGACCACGACGACGACGACCACCACCACCACCGCCACCACAGCCCCGCCGCCACCACCACCACCATGGGCTGTGAATCCCAAGCCTTTAATTAGCACAATATAACACTATCGTCTGGAAAAATGGAAAGTGCCAACAACAGCCAAGCAATATACACTTGTTTAAAATATGAAAATTGTATACAAATAAATCAGGAGAGAATTTGTGGGAAGCTATTTGTTCGGTTGTCAAGATATAGATAGTTTTAATTTTTAATATCGAGCATCAGACTCGTTAATCAAATTAACAGTAAGAGGACTTGATGATGATGATGACAACTATGTTTATTTGCTGCTGGGGTACTTAATTTATAACTTACCCCTAACGTCACGGGAGACATTCCCAATAAATTTTAGGGTGTTCAGGTTGTAGTTTCTCTCGATTTATCTACAGCCAAGTTTAGGGTTAGGGTTAGGATTAGAAGACACTAGATGAACACTCAAAAAAAAAAAAAAAAAAAAAAACAACAACAACAGCACACTTCCAACCCTTTAAATAATGGACTGTCATGTCAGCTGTGGATATCTTACGGGGATTTCGTGTTTGGGGTACGTTATAAATTAAGAACCGCTGCTGGATTTCGTTTCCTTTTCTTTAAATATCCCTTTTACGGTACTGTCGATTATTTGCTGTATTTTTTTTTTCAACAGACGATAGAGAAGATGGTGTTTTATCGGGCCGATTCTAAGACAAATCAAACAGAGGTTCACAAAACAATCACCGAAATAGAAAACACACGGACTAGAGAAGTGAGGACGCCGAAGTGAAACCCTATAACGAACATTCAGAGGCCAAAAGTGCATGAGTAGATTTCATACACAGTTTGAAAAAATGCATAGGATAGATTGCGAATGCTGTATAGCGGCAGAACAAAGTTGTATATTTTCCCCCACTCATCTCCAAGACTGCAACTTGAAAGTTTGACACCAAATGACTCAAAGAGTCACTTTTCATAAACAAATCCCGAACTGGTACATACCATTATTCATTATCAACAGTATGAATTTCCCGAGGCATTAAAGTGATCATTTAGCAAACATCGAAATCAAAGAGTTAAACGTGGAGAATAGTGTATAGTTAGTTTCGAGGCAAGAAAAATGCTAACCTTCAATGTGGAGAAGGCACTTGATGAGGAAGACGACAACGTCTTTAGTTAATTTTGTTTAGTTTCTGTTTGTTTTGTAATTTAGAATTTCCAACCAATCACAACTTCCGCTGCTGCCGGCAAATTGAACTCGTCAGTTGTTGTTGTAAGCAGAAATCTTCTCATTGAACCATCAGATAGTTTACTTCTCTAACCAGATTTGATTTATGAGTCTAGAAGTTGATATTTACTGGGCTTCGGTTGAAGCGCAGAGAACGGAGTCCTAGCCGATACATTATAATCATTTTGAGAATTGCAATGAAAGGTCTGACAGACAGTATGAGTATAGACAGTATAGAGTTGTTGTTAGTATTTCTAGTCTAAACTACTAAAGCAAAGTCGCCTTTATCCTAAACTAAAAGCAGGTTTTGCATGTTTGTTGTAACTAAAGGTACACTAAGTGTTTATAAATTTGCTTTGCGGTTTGTTTTGGTTCTTTTGTTGTATCCTACGCCCAGATGAAGATGAAATGGGGTGGGGGTGTAAGACTGGGTTTCCCGGCTTTTTCTGATGCTTTTAACTTTAAACTACCCTAAAATGTAACTCAAACACCCAGAACTGGCCCTAACCCCAACCCACGAGAGAGTGCATCCTAGGTCCCATGACTGCCTGCAGCCTATCTGTCACCCCCTGAAATATTAGACTGTCCCGTGACCCATGGATTTCTCCTGTTTGGGATAGGATATTAGGAAAGCACCTTTGTTTTATTTATTTTCCTTCCCTTATAATTCTTTGAGTCCCAGGGGGTTTAGCATCAGAGGCCCAATGGGAAGTCAAGAGAGATGTAAAATCAGCGCATCTTGCGTTTATTGGGCCTCTAGGTGGGAACCTATGAACGTATGATGCGTTCATTGGGACTCAGAGAGTTCAGTATTGTAGGCATGACTTGTAGAAAGGTGGGAGGGTTCCCATGTAATTTCATGTGCCCACCCAGACAATTCCTGCTCCGAATGCAGCTCAGATATTGGCTCTGAGGTGTATAGTGTGTTATGCCAGCTGTCGCTCAGGAATGATACTTCACATGCTGTTACAGGCCCTAAAGAAACAGACTGCGAGCAGTCTTTTATGTGTAACATATCTAATATATCTTCTATATATGCAAAAATCAGCATCGTAGTCAAGGTCAGTATTTACAAATCACTGGTGTTGCCTGTTTTCTTATACGGATGTGAGAGTTGGACTCTCACTGCAGAAATGGAAAGGAGGATTCAGGCTTTCAAATGTAAATGCTACAGACGCATTATACGAACTAGTTATTTCAATTTGGCAGGTTTGTCACAAACAAATTAACTTCATTTTCACAGATATTCTGATCAAATGCTGCAACTAACACTGGGCTGGAAAGATGTCCCAGTCTTAGCTTGAAGTGACACTCCTATTTCTTCTGAACCATCGGTAAGTTGCCGAGAGCATTTGACCATGAACTCTTTTTTCGACAATACGAAGAAGTCACGGGAAGAGGCTGACGATCTTGCCGACGCTGACTTGCTGGACATGAAAAACAGACTTGATCATGAGTTACAAACTTTACAGATCGCCCACTCAACAGGTAACTACCTTATTTTCTCATTTATCTTCTTCTTCTTTGCATTCACCAGCTGTAAACTCTGGTGGAAAGTTCTGGTTGTTCATCCACTTCTGGACTGCAGTCCTGTTCCAGAACCTGAGTGTTGCATGTACATCCATTTGACAGATCTGACACATTTGTGTGCAGACTGTTGGTTCCTTGCCCATCAGGCAGATGCACTTTGACTTTGAAGGAAACTCCCAATTAGTCTACTTTTAGGGCATGCTTTTTTGTAGGCAGCGGATCTGTTCTTGGTTTCCCTATAAAAGGGCCCCGAAACCCACACGAGGGATTCTTTCGTTTATAATATGATAGGTTTTCCAGAATTTGTCATTTCAGTTTAAAATTGGAGGTCATTTTAAATACGGAATGCGTTTACAATATTTGTAACCAAATTTTTGGTTAAAAATTATGCATGCAAGCATCTTATTCATGAAAAAAAAAAATTACTTATATCATACATAAATATGAACCAGACTTTTTTTTTTAAAGGATCGACTCCCAGGTCGACCCAGCCTTCAGTGGGTACCAGGTACAGTCCTGGGAAGTAAAGTGAAGAGAGCTATGTTCTCTGTAGATCATGCTGACTGATTGTCTGGTAGTCTTAGTTTCAGCTTCATAGCAAACGGGTCACCCCATCTTTGCTCCACTCCTGTGCCAACAAAAAACACACAGAATATTTATCACAGTCCCTTGTGGAAAGATTGACAGACTGTTGTCTTAGCATATCTAGCATGCACTCGCATTAAAGCATACGGTAGCCATCCGAAGTGCTAACACAAACAGTCTGACGTTAGAAATGCAGATCATCATTGATGGTAGCAGAAGTCACCCAACAGATCAGCAGTTGCCCACGCCATCAATTTTAAACACATACGGGCACCACCAACATTGCACGACAGGCATCGCGCCGTTTTATTAATCTACAATTCACACCACCATGTTGGTCTCAGTCGAAAAAAACATTCCAAGTGAAATCCGCAGCTCACAGTGTCACGCCATGCATTTAACTCAGAAGCTGGGCAACAAAACTATATCCAGTCTACAAATGGAGCAAAAACGCATCGGCCACCGCCCGGCAGAAGCAAAAAATTTGCCTCTTCTTCAAACAGTGCCCCTGCCTAACGTCCATTTTGACCGTATGGTGACTGATTGATATTACATCGGGAACCCACAGGGTCAAAGCAGTAAATGTGACCCTTATTAACCTTGAAACTGAAGGGGAAAAAAACACAACCAAACACCTGGAACAGCAACTTAGACTTTCAAGAAACTGAAAAACCTTGGAAATATTTGTAAAGCCAAAATCCTTGAAATGTGCCTGCTATAGCTGAGAAGTAAACAAAGAAATGAGAGTTAATTGGAAGGTGCGTTTGTTAGTCATCAGAGCTAGTGGACCAACTGGCAAGCAAAGCACCAAGGCATGTGGGAAGAAGCATGGACAGAGCAGATATCGTCAACGCTGTACGGACTGGGCTAGTGGATAATGAGGAATTCCTGACGCTAACACGATTGCGTGACATGGGAGTAAAGCATGATGAAGCACATTTATGCCGTCTTCGAGGCCGAGATAGGAGTCAATATAACCAGCTTCTCATGGGAACAATTATTAGAAGTACTGCATCAGAGGACTGAGCATGCACGCATGTGAATGCCTAATGTACAGTGACGTTGATTGTGATAACATAACATAACATGTTAGTCATCTAAACACCAAAGATTAAAACTCCTGGCCTAGTGCTAAAGCAACTCCCACGTCTGAAACCAAAGAGTAGTTCCTTGTAGCTTAACAAATTATGAGAAAAAATTGAAATGGGTGTTCGTCTAGCATACAAGAAATTGTGCTGTGGTTTGTAACAGGTGGTGTGATCAAATGTGCCTGATACAACGTTGAAAACATCAAAAGAGCCTTGAAAAGCCTTTTTTAAACAGTTGGGGAATTTGGTTGTGAACCATGAATAAAGGCAGGTAAAACACATTGGAGAAGAAAATACAAGAATGAGAAATCAGGGGGGAAAGATGGGGAAAACATGTGGTGAGCAAGTTATTCTTCTACGCCTTAGAACTGGTCACAGTTGACTTCGCAGCCACATGTACACAAAATACAGATGACGTCCTCCAAGACTGTCCCAATACAACATCTCAGAGCAAAATTTTTGGCCAAGAGAAACATCTGTGCAAGTCAAACTTTACATGGAGGGAATTACAAAAAAAGTGAAGTTCATACTAGAGACAGAACTGCAGATATAAGTAATCTGTTTCAAGCGAATGAAAGAAGAAGAACATGTGGTGAGCTGCAGACAGTGGTAAAGGGTAGGACCTCATACTTTAGGGCCGAATGCCTCTTTAGGGGATGAAGTGCAGAACAAAAGAAGGAGAAGAAAAATAGGATATCATTTCTGTTGTGTTTGTTTATTGCAGAGACATGGGGGAAGCTCAGTTAAGTGAAGGTGGTCAGAAAAATATCGAAGACAACTGCATTGAGTGCTGATTAGTGTTAAAAAAAATAAAATCGAAGTTTCTATCAGCGAGGCTTTGTTTCTGGCCAGTAGTTTTAAAGGCAGCATTTCTTTTTTTCAGCACTTCTGTAATAAACACTATGTAATTAGTAACAGCATGTTAAAAAAAATGTTCTAAAGATGTTTTAAGTACCAGCAAATCTCTCAGAAAAGATGGAGTGATGGCATTAAGAACCGCCTGACAGAAACCTTCTTCTTCTTCGCATTCACCAGCTGTAAACTGGCTGGCGGAAAATTTTGGTTGTTCATCCACTTCTGGACTGCAGCCCTGTTCCAGAACCTGAGTGTTGCATGTGCATCTGTTTTACAGTTCTGACTCATTTGCATGCAGACTGCTGGTTCCTTGCCTCTCGGGCAGATGCACTCCGACTTCAAGGGAAGCTCCCAATAAGTCTACTCCTACTACATGCTTTTGGGTAGGCAGTGGGTCTATTCTTGTTTTCACTATGATAGGATCCCGAAACCCACACAGGGACCTTACAGAAATGAACATCAGTCTTAATAGTGCTCTTGACAGAGCTCACCAATAAATGTTACATCTTCCCCCGACACTTTGATCAGGTACAAGGTGGAAGAGAAGAAGAAATCTTTTTTTTAGAAAACAAAACAATCTTGGCTATCAATGTATACCAAATAGGCCTCAGGGTTTGGACACGTGTCCTTGACCTTGTCTATATGTGTACATCACAGAACAGTTTTCTAATGTCCTGAAAGGTTTATAACTGAGAAAGTGAGAGCTTCAGTAAATATAGCCCTTAGGCCTGCAGAATCGGAATCCACCTCTGATCAGCGCGGCACATGATGGTGATCAAAACTGAACATTTTTTATAGATTTTAAAATAATACACGGCTTCCTCGACTTATGACCAAGTTCCTTTCTAACAGGTCTGAGTCAAATTGCTTCAGTCGAATTTATATTATCCATAGAACAGAAACGTTAAATCGGTGTACGTAATAAATATTGTACATAATGTGAAAAATACATAATATATACACTATGCTTGTCGTCTGTGGCTTTGGTGTTGCGAATTTCGCTTCATAATGCCAGGGTGCTGGGTTTGATCCCAGCTGCGGACGGTTTGCTATATGTAGGTTTTGACAGTGGTAACTTTAACTCTGTTGTGCGTACTGTAAACAAAAATGCAACTGGAAATTACTATTTTTTATTTATGTTATTTTTTGTGATGATTAGTCGCATAGGTCGTAAGTCGATGAGAATATGTATTTTGTAATATTAGTATGTTGTTATATGTGTTCTCATTAATTTTTGTTTGTGTTTAACTGTTATTTTATTTTACAGCCAGACAAGACAGCAGTTCTGGTGACCTTGAAGAGTTACAGCAGAGGTTAGTATCCACCAGTAAAGGTTAGAGTTAGTCCTTATATGTTAGCAGACACCTACATTCAATGAGCAAAGTTCCTGTGTTGCCAGGAAATTCTCACCCTTTCTTCTCCTTCTTTGCTCTCACCAGCTGTAAACTCCAACAGAAAGTTTTCTTTGTTCGTCCACTTCTGGATTTTGTCTTGTTTCAGAACAAAAAATTTGCATGCACACCTGTTTTACAGATCTGGCTTATCTGTATATAGACTGTTGGTTCCTCACCTCTCAGGACGATGCACTCCAGCTTAGAAGAAAACCCACCTAATTAGTGGGCTTTTATGGCATGCTTGTTAGGGAGGTTTCTCCCCCACAGTGGAGCCCTTGAACCCACACTGGGAAAATTCACCATTTCTGACAAATATTTTAAAATCTTTGAAGGCTGTTCAGGAAATAAGTATTGTTTAGTGCTGTGATTCCCAAACTGTGGGCTGCAGCGCCCGGGGAGCCACGGCCTCTTCACAGGGGCAGAGCAAAATATTCGAAGATACACAAATTTTTTTTTTCCTTATCATTTACATAGGAATAGTCATACTTTTACTTAGGTTAGATCATTTACATAGGAATAGTCATACTTTTACTTAGGTTAGGGCGCTGCTGAAAAATTGTATTTGAAAAAAAGGAGCCGCAACTGAGACAAGTTTGAGACACACTGGTTTAGTGACTTGAATGAAGCTCCCAGTTAGTCAGCTCCTACGACATGAATGTTGGGGAGGCAGTGGGTCTATCCTTGTTTTCACCACAGTGGCACCCTGCAACCCAGACAGGTAGAAAGCACAACAAAACATACACAAAAGAGGAGCAATGAAATGAAACAACTCAGGGAGGACTGACAACTTTTATTATACTTTTTTTGTTGTTAATGCTAACAATGTTTGAGCAACTTCTTCAGAGATCTCCGACCGAGAAGCATTTACGCTATTCCATAAACTCAAGGTCTCTTAGGTTTCCCCAAAGCTTAGTTGCCAGGTCTACTGGGTGTGGCCGCCATGTTGCTTTGCAGCTCCTCCAGGCGAGGACAGACTTATAAGACATGTTCTGGGGTCTGATCACACGAAGATACTGGAAGAGAACTGTTTGGCTCATACCTAATTTATATGAGTCTGCAGTGTACATGATCACTTTGGTGAATTAGCATTTGTTTTTCCTTTGTTCTTTAACAATTGAATTTGAACCTGACAAATTCTGATTGGTATTATCAACAGAGTCCAAGATCTACAAGACCAGTTATTAGAAGAGTCCAATGCCCGCTCCATTAAAGAGCTCTTGGTGAAGAGGTCAGTAAGCTCTCTCTCTCTCTCTCTCTCTCTCTCTCTCTCTCTCTCTCTCTCTCTCTCTCTCTCTCTCTCTCTCTCTCTCTCTTTCTTAGCTTTCACCAGAACCAGGCTGACTTAGTGAATACTCCTCAAAAAGTAAGATGCTTGTAAGAACCAGGTGACTGTCAATCTGCAACATGACTGGACTACAAGAATCACGCGAATGTCAATCTGCAACATGACTGGACTACAAGAACCACATGACTGTCAATTTGCAACATGACCGGACTACAAGAACCATGTGACTGTCAATCTGCAATATGACCAGACTACAAGAACCATGTGACTGTCAATCTCCAACATGACTAGACTACAAGAACCACATGACTGTCAATCTGCAACATGACTGGACTACAAGAACCACATGACTGTCAATCTGCAACATGACTGGACTCCAAGAATCACGCGAATGTCAATCTGCAACATGACTACAAGAACCACATGACTGTCAATCTGCAACATGACTGGACTACAAGAACCACATGACTATCAATCTGCAACATGACTGGACTACAAGAACCACGTGATTGTCAATCTGCAACATGACTGGACTACAAGAACCACATGACTGTCAATCTGCAACATGACTGGACTACAAGAACCACATGACTGTCAATCTCCAACATGACTGGACTACAAGAACCACATGACTGTCAATCTGCAACATGACTGGACTACAAGAACCACATGACTGTCAATCTGCAACATGACTGGACTACAAGAACCACATGACTGTCAATCTCCAACATGACTGGACTACAAGAACCACGTGACTGTCATTCTGCAACATGACTGGACTACAAGAACCACATGACTATCAATCTCCAACATGACTGGACTACAAGAATCATGTGACTGTCAATCTACAAAATGACCAGACTACAAGAACCATGTGACTGTCAATCTACAACATGACCAGACTACAAGAACCACGTGACTGTCATTCTGCAACATGACTGGACTACAAGAATCATGTGACTGTCAATCTACAACATGACCAGACTACAAGAACCATGTGACTGTCAATCTACAACATGACCAGACTACAAGAACCACGTGACTGTCATTCTGCAACATGACTGGACTACAAGAATCATGTGACTGTCAATCTACAACATGACTGGACTACAAGAACCACATGACTATCAATCTGCAACATGACTGGACTACAAGAACCATGTGACTGTCAATCTACAACATGACCAGACTACAAAACCATGTGACTGTCAATCTGCAACATGCCTGGACTACAAGAACCACATGACTATCAATCTACAACATGACTGGACTACAAGAACCACATGACTATCAATCTACAACATGACTGGACTACAAGAAACACATGACTATCAATCTGCAACATGACTGGACTACAAGAATCATGTGACTGTCAATCTACAACATGACCAGACTACAAGAACCACATGACTATCAATCTGCAACATGACCAGACTACAAGAAGGAAGAAAATAGTACCTTTTGAGCTGAAGTACTGTAGAAAGGTTCTCAAAATGCCAAGGACAAAGTAGAAAAGACTTATTGACTAGACATTGACTAGACTGCAAGTTAAAAGGGGTGTGGACAAAAGCACTATGTGAGGCAGCCAGAGAAGAATAAGAAAAGCATAGAACTGGTGTAGTCAGCAATTTGTTCATTTAATGTACTCAGTATTTGTTTGTTTCCAAACTGTTTAACAACAGAACCTGCACTTATTATCATAGCTTTTGTATATTTTGTGAATATCTGGCATTTTACAGGATTCAGATGGGAAATATACTCACTTCAGGTATGTTTGACAGGCTCGGAAATGAGCCATGACATAAGAGGCTCTTTAGGAAGGAAAGTGTTTGGCAAGGGACTGAGATTCATTCAGTCGGGCTGTGTTGGAAGCAGAATTCTTCTACTTGATGATGATGATGTGCACAGTATTGCATAGTTTTTTTGTTTGGTCCAGTTGACTGTTACATGTTTAAATCTTTTATTTCTGGACTTTGCAGTTTGGAGGAACTAAGTCTTGTGTCCCAGATCAACAAAGTACACAAAGTGAGTGTCTTGTATCTTCTGCTGAATCTTCTCCTATATATTCTACCTTCTCCCGTATCTTGTATCTTCTGTATTTTGTATCTACTCTTGATCTTTTCTTCTGTCTTGTCTGTAATATTGTCCTTGTCTGCTATCTTGTTTGTTTATCTTTAATCTTCTCTTATATCATGTCCTTTATATTGTGTCTTCTCTTATATCATGTTCTTTATCTTTTATCTTCTATTGTATCTTGTCCCTTATTTGGTATCTTCTGCTGTATATTGTGAACAAAAAGAAGAAGAAGAATCAATGCACAATAAGCTAGAGATGGTCAAGCCGCTCTGGGAAAAGTCAATCAATGGTAAAGTGCAAAGAGATCATTATAGTCTGGAGATAATAATGTATTTGGGAGTGACCAGGAGATCTGGATGGCACTGTACACTTAGGGAAAGACAATCATCATGTGCCCTGCCAACTGGCGTAGGCGCTCATGTGTCTCCACAGATCACGATCCCTGGTTGCCAGGAACGGCTCTCTTGATGATATTCCTCCGTGCCATCGTTTCAGCATCATCTCTCTTGGTCTGCCTCTTTTTCCACTGATCTTTCCAGTTGTGATGATGTTCTCCAATGTATCTCATTATGTGGCCAAAGAACAGTGTTTGTCTCTTTCTTATTGTTTTATGTAGTGATCTACTTTCATTAGCTTCTCTCAAGAAATTGTTGTTGAAAAGACAATATGGTCATATAATCCGACCACCACTGGTATCATTGGAACTGGATTTCTGAGCTGGCTGCTGCAGATGAGGACGGAGTATTTATGGGAATGTCCCTAGTGATGTGATGTTGGTTGCTAGCACATTTCAGCTCATTCATTGCAATTTACCCGACATAGCAGCAAACTTTGGTGAACAAAATTTTATATTACCCAGTTTATAGCGGACTAAAATACTGTGAACCAAGGAAAGGAAAACAAACATCCTACATCAGGGCTATTCAGCTGGTGGCCTGCAGGCCAAATGTGGCCTGTGGAGTCCTAGAAAGAGGCCCACAAAAGATTGTCAGTTATATGCTTTTAATTATCTTTCTATGCTTGGGCCTGTGGCTGTGTACAATCCCCATTTTCAAAATTTTGGCTCCTGGGTAAACTTTGTTGAATAGCCTGTCCTACATGATTTGAACATCAAGGAGAATTAGCTCATACACAGCATCCTGTCCCCCCAAACTGGGGTAGTTTGACCATATTGTGTGTCATGGTGAATTGGAGAGAATGATGATGAAGGGTACTGCTTCTAGAAGAGGATGCAGAAGCAGACCTCAGCAAATGTGGATACAAGGGATTTAAATTAGGATGTTATGAAAGAACCGGATATCGTTAACTACACTTTATGATTTTTGCGTATCCTTCATAGGACATTGCTGAACCAAACCCAGCATGGTTTTTTGTGTGGCTTTTGTGATTTTTCTAGGCATATTTTATGTTCAGTACTTTACCATTGCTTTCTGAACGGTCAGCTCTCAGAACTACTGATGAAGCCAACGCAAGACAAATTGTCCGCAGCTGGGATCGAACCTGGCCTTATGAAGCACGTTCACTACTCCTAAGCCACAGACGCTGGCTTTTCTGTATACCTTCCATGTTTATTTATGTGTAATTTTTTATTTATTTCTGTACAGATTGCGCCTTCTTCTGCATAATCAAGAAATTCTTTCTGTGTAGTTCTTTCATCTTCTTCTTAAAATTCAAAGGCTGAAAACTCCGGCAGAAAGTTCTGGTTTTCGTCCACTCCTGGAATTTGGTCTTGATCAAAAAGTTGAATTTTTTGGGCACATTTGTCTCTCTCTCTCTCTCTCTCTCTCTCTCTCTCTCTCTCTCTCTCTACGTGCATGCACGTGTGTGTGGTTGTTTTAAACAAATCTGGCTTTTTTGTGTACAGACTGTTGTATCCTTGTTTCTCTAACAGATGTACTTCGACTTTGCAGGGAAAACCCCTAATTAGTCGTCTCCTACAGCATGCTGGGGGGGGGGGGGCAACCAGTGGGTCTCTTCTTTGTTCTCCACAGTGGAGCCCCCCGAGCCCACATGGGAGATGATTCTTTCAACATGTGAACATTGGACATGTTTGCATAATGCCTCCTGACACCCCTTACCGTCTGTCTATTACACTTTTGAACAAAATTAATATGAAAATGCGTCGCTGCCGATTATAGTTAGCTTTTCCCACACAGAAATGAAGGTGTTCAGTTGGTTAATGCTAGTGCTCCATTTCTGATTGTGTAGGACTCAAGAAGGACAACATGGAGATGATGCAGAAGCTCCAGATGAACAAGGAGAAAGCACAGGCCATTTCTGCTGAAGTTGCCCGCAATAAGGATTACAAAAGGTAAACTGAACGAGTTTGTTTTTGTTCATATGATAACCATAATTTATCTTCCATGTCTTAATATGAGGCAGAGGCATACCTCCAAGAATGTAGATACAAGATATTGAAGATGTATTTTCTATGAGAACACATAGGGCTGGAAATCTGGCTAGAGAAAAAAAAGACTTGAGTTTTCTTTGACAAAAGTGACATTGTGTTGAGGACATAATGATTTGATTTGATTCAAGAACCGACATCACAGCACTCGGGGCGTTCCAATAAGCGCTCTGTCTCTATCTTCAGCAGCCAGAGACGAGTTTCGATACTGATGGTGCCAGTAGCATTCTGATGAAACATCCGTCTGCCTTTCCTCTGAGTATCGAACATCTGCCAGAACCTCTCGTCACTCCCCCCGCTGCATCAATCTTACCAGACTGCGGTGATCCATCTGCTCCGCTGAACTGTACACACTTTCCCACAAGGCACTAACCACGTCTGCCTTATCATGTATCAGTATTCCACCAAGTTGTGCGGAGCCAGCCAGTCTGTCCGCCTGTTCATTTCCCAATGAAAAACCCGATGAAAAAATGAGGAAAAAATTATTGAGTGGTTAATCTGTATCATGTGTGGGAAAACTATTATCTGCTGAACAATTTTTACAGGCCAACGAATCTGGTGTAAAATTACTATATAATAGAAATCGGGTTGTGGAAATTGGGTTGTGGAATCACAGAGTTGTAGAAATCGGGTTGTGGAATCACAGAGTTGTAGAAATCAGGTTGTGGAATCACAGAGTTGTAGAAATCGGGATTGTGGAATCACAGAGTTGTAGAAATCAGGTTGTGGAATCACAGAGTTGTAGAAATTAGGTTGTGGAATCACAGTTGTAGAAATCAGGTTGTGGAATCACAGAGTTGTAGAAATGAGGTTGTGGAATCACAGAGTTGTAGAAATCAGGTTGTGGAATCAGAGTTGTAGAAATCAGGTTGTGGAATCACAGAGTTGTAGAAATCATGTTGTGGAATCACAGAGTTGTAGAAATCATGTTGTGGAATCACAGAGTTGTAGCAATCAGGTTATGGAATCACAAGCATCTGAAGCTGTAGAGCAGGGCCATTCAGCTGAGTTTTCTCTGGGGCCTAAATGATGGTAAATGGGATTGTTGCAGTCCACTGGCCATAGCCCCAATATAGAAGGAATATTAAAACAATACATCTGGCAGGTGGTCCACAGGACACTTGCCAGGTTTCTTTCTGTGGGCCAGATTTGGATTGCCATTTGAATAGCCCCGCTATGTAACCATGTTGAGAAGTAGCAGAGAAGTGTTTTCAAGTGAGAAATCTTCGTCTTCTTTGCGTTCACTGGCTGTAAACTCTGGCCTAACGTTCTGGCTGTTCTCCCACTTCTAGACTTTCATTTTGTTTCAGAACTAGGGTTTTGCATGCACACAGATCTGTCTTATTTGTATGCAGAATGTTAATTCCTTGCCTCGCAGATGAGTGCACGACGACTTCAAAGGAAACATCCTTAATCAGTCGCCTTGTATGATATTCCTGTTAGGGGGCAGTGGATCTATTATTCACCCCCTTCAGGTGGAGCTGTGCACCCCATACGGAAATATTAGTTTGATGATTGTAATGTTGTGAATTCCTGGGGAAATCCCAGAGAGTTCCCAATGGGGAGGACAAGGTCAGAGGACCAGTGATACAAGAGGAAAACGAGATAAGTGGGTCTTGAGTATCCCATGGTGGGCGAATAAGGGATACAAGAAAAGCGGGAGACTGGAAAGGAAGACGTGAACCGAGAGAGGGTTGTAAGACAATTGAAGTTCGGACCTGGTTGTGTGGTCGTATGTGAGAGAACACCTGATGAGAATGGAGAACTTGTGACCACGTATAATTGCTCTAGAGCAGAGATGAATGTTTTCCTGATTGCCAGTTTTAACATGTACTAATACCAGGTACAATGCGTTAGTATGATATTGATGTGTGATCTGAGAGATACAAATGGAGCTAATCAGCGTGCGAGAGAATTGGCCAGGTCATCAGAAATCAGCCAGGCATAGCGACCACGAGGTCTAAGAATTCACTGTCAGTGAGATGTTTGTATCAGCGAATAAAGGTCAATAACTGAACGTTCGTCTTCTGGTGTGTCCTAGCAGCTACGTGTACGTCAATACAGCAATGTGGCGTGTAGAATCAAACCCCTAGCAGAGCACATTGCAATGATGATCTCTTGCTTGTGACATGTCTCCCACTCTGATACTCTATGACTGGACTATTCAACTAGCGACCCCCAACTGGCCCACCGATGCCTAGCAAGTGGCCTGCGGATCATTGCCACATGGATTGTACAAATGATTTGCATATATCTGGGTCTTTAATATCAATCCTAAGTTGTATATGTCTTCTTCTTCTCTTCTGGTCCTGTTCTGCCTTTCAGTGTCAGATTTTGAAGAGGCATCAGGTGAGAGCCTTGGTGTGTGCTACATAGTTGCTAGTATTTATGGCCTCAGATATTCGATCTATCCATAACTTGTGTGGTCGACCTCTAACTCTGCTTCCACTTTGTCCAAGTGACAGGGCTCTCCGTGATGCACAGTTTGGTGGTAGTCCTGACACATGTCTGAACCATTTGATAAAAGTAATATAACGTATATATATATATATATATATATATATATATATATATATATATATATATATATATATATATATATATAATGTATTTTCTCCAGATTGAAGAGTGAGCTAGAGGGACAGTGCTCGACTCTGGACATCCACCGGAACCTGATCCAGATGTTGATCCTAGGCATGGGCCAGGAATGGAGACAGAACCCGCGGTACAAGCAGGTGATGCTGGAATGTGGGGAACCCCTGAACTTGTAGTATATCCCCTTGCATCAGAGAGAAAACGGATGATTCTCAAACTTGCCACTTTGGACCAAATTTTCAGAATAACATTGTCCTCACATATGAATGCTTTGTTGCTGGGATGTACCTGTACAAATAACAAGAGGAAAAGAGAGAGTATGTGTTTGTGGGTGGGTGAGTTCATGCGTGAGTATGTGTGAGAGAGAGAGAGATAGAATTCATTGTTCTTTAGTGCCATTATATGCATATAAGGCTTAAAGTCTATTCCTCCATTCTTTTCTCTCCTGTTCATTCAGTTTAATGTCATGGATGAAATCCTGGAATCCAGTCCAGCACCTTTGGTCTCCTCATTAACGTTCATTTTAATGTTTCCGTAACCCTTTATTTCTCATTTTAAGGCCTTTTTGGTGATTCTCTGCTGGTTTCTTCTCAGGATGTGTCCAAAAAAGCGGTGTCTTCTCTGTTTTATAACTGTTGATACCCGTGGTTGCGCAGACATTTCTCGTATTTCTTCACCCCCCTTGAATTCATCCCATTTTATAGACATCATTTTATTTAGGGTAGTGGGGGAGGGGGGCACACACACACACTCTCACTCACACTCACACAAAAAAGCATCAGGGAAGGTTCAACCATGGGCCTAATGAACATCGAAGACCTAAAACAGGTGGCAGTGAACCGCCAGACATGGAGAGCTATGACTTCTGCCCTATACGCCACTCTAGGCTCAAGAGGAAAGACTTATTCACACTAATTTTATTGCTACATGTAATATGCATATTCATAATTGCAACAGAACCAGTCTGATTTGGCTGCATGTGATTTGGCAGCAAGCCAGTGGGTATTGACTCAACAGTGGTATAATAATCAACGACTCAGAAAGTGTAGTCGTGTCCCACAAAGAATATGTAACTAATTTGTGTGTATGTGTTTTTTTTTTTTTTTTTTAATAATTCATAATTGTTTCTTAAATTTACATTTGGCGAACAATCATCAAGTGCCTTGCAACCTGGCATGGATAAGCTTGTCTCTCCAGAAGTCCTTGTATCTTCACATATTTTGTCCATTAGCTCAGTGTTTATTATAGGGACAGCATGGCCAAGGTGGCGTAGTGGTCAGTGCACATAATTATTAAGACTGGTCCATGTACAGATCCTTGCTGTTGCAGGACATTTTGTTTTCTTGACCAATGGTTTTTGTTTCAGGTGGCACCCCCCCCCCCCCCCCCCCCCTGTATTAGCAGTGATTCTTTCTGATTGGGTTTGTGATTGGTTTGTCGGTTGACTTGGATTCTCAGCTGACTGGCTGCTTATTTGACCAGCAGATTGGCTGGTTGCTTGGTTGACCAGCTGGTTGGTTGACTGAATGGTTAGAAGAGACTAACTGGTTGTTTGACTGACTGACTGACTGGGAGGATGGTTGACTGACTTAAAGACTGACTGGCTAGTTGATTGACTGGAAGACTGACTGGTTGGTTGGTTGATTGACTGACTAACTGGAAGACTGACTGGTTGGTTGATTGACTGGTTGGTTGGTTGGTTGACTGACTAACTGGACGACTGATTGGCAGGTTGAATTGCTGACTGACTAGAAGGCAAACTGGCTAGTTAATTGACTGACTGACTGGTTGGTTGGTTGATCAACTGACTAACTGGAAAACTGACTGGCTAAGTTGATTGGCTGACTGGCTAGTTGATTGACTGACTGGTTGGTTGGTTGATTGACTGACTGGTTGGTTGATTGACTGGAAGACTGACTGGCTAGTTGATTGACTGACTGACTGGCTAGTTGATTGACTGGAAGACTGACTGGCTAGTTGATTGACTGGAAGACTGACTGGCAAGTTAATTGACTGACTGACTGGTTGGTTGATTGACTGACTAACTGGAAGACTGACTGGCAAGTTAATTGACTGACTGACTGGTTGGTTGATTGACTGACTAACTGGAAGACTGACTGGCAAGTTTGACTGGCAAGTTAATTGACTGACTGACTGGTTGGTTGATTGACTGACTAACTGGAAGACTGACTGGCTAGTTGATTGACTGGAAGACTGACTGGCAAGTTAATTGACTGACTGACTGGTTGGTGATTGACTGACTAACTGGAAGACTGACTGGCAAGTTAATTGACTGACTGACTGGTTGGTTGATTGACTGACTAACTGGAAGACTGACTGGCAAGTTAATTGACTGACTGACTGGTTGGTTGATTGACTGACTAACTGGAAGACTGACTGGCAAGTTAATTGACTGACTGGTTGGTTGATTGACTGACTAACTGGAAGACTGACTGGCTAGTTGATTGACTGGAAGACTGTGAACGCGAAGAAGAAGAAGGTTGACTGACTGACTGGAGGACATGACCTGTTGGTTGGCTGGCTGGCTGACTGGTTTATTTGTCTGTTAACTCTCCTAACAAACTTTGTAATTTACCCCAATTCTGATGCAGTAAAATTCAGATTGTCAAAGTTCTGAAATGGCCTTGCTTTTATCACTGTATACTTGCATTGCCTCCTATTGCAGATAGGCTTAAAAAAGTTCTGCAAGCAAAATCAAATCTCAGAGTAGTTGCAGACAGGAAGCGCCTTCTATGTGAACCCTTAGGTAGAATTAAGGGTCACAGACTGAAAAAAGGAAGGTCTGGGATGGTCCAGGCTGAAGACACAGTTAGAAATGTGTGCAGGTGTGATAAATTTTGGTGAGGAGAGGAGTGGGTCAGTGTCCAAGCAAGTTTCAGATTTGTGTAGGGTTCTGATCACTTTAGTTCATGGGTGCAGGGACTGGTGCTGCAGAATCAGAAGTTCAACAAATGATTCATGATAATTCCCGCCCAGGTGATGTGATTATCTAGACAGATGGAGGCTTTGTGTTGAGAGGCAGACGGAGTGCATTGGGGTTCATAGCAAACGCAAATGGATGTCGCTTAGTGCAGCAAAGCATGGCTTATTATATCACGTCTACTTTGAGAATGGAGGTGGATACAACCACTGCTGGCTTGAGAATCAGCTGTACATACCTGTTGTAATTTTAACTGACTCACAGAGCATGTTGAGAAAGGGGACACAGGCATGCTCTGTACAGATAAGCATCACTTCAGAGGTCCTGGGTAGTTAGCATCCTGTACAAATATTCTATGCATATTGTTTTCATGTCATGCCGGTGTTTTGGGAAATAAGCAGGCAGATAGGCTAGCCAGCACTGGACCATTTGATGGTGAATTAATGTTTCACAAACTAGATGTTTTGAGGGTCCTTTGGGAGCGAGCAAACAGTGCATAGGCACAAATAGATCATCACGGTCTGATGAGAATGACGCTGTGGGGATCTGGCTAACGTTAACAGTCAAGGAAAAGGCAAGACGGATATACAATCAGACAGTTTCTGATACCATCAGAATTGGAACTCTTTGCTTGCTGCTGAAGATAAGGATGGAGCACTTATTGGAGTGTTCCGAGTGCTGTGATGAAGATTCTTAATTCAACATTACCACTGTGAGGCTGACGCAGAGATTTCTCCAAATACGTATTACCTCTACAACGACTGTACTGCAGAACTCTTCTTGGGTAAGACTTCTACCATTTAGTCAGTGATTAATTTTTAACAAGGCCAAATGTACACATAACGTTAATTGCCCCAAGCCCCGCCCATATACACACTAGCTCAATTCTAATTGGTAGTTCCTGTCACCTTGACACAAGGTTAGGGGGATGTTCCGCAATGCTGTTGATATGACATGTTGTATATTTCAACACACCAGCGCTTTTAACACTCCAAAAACATGGAGAAACAGGCCCTTACAAAACTCCCCTAGAGAGTGCTGCAACCTAATGTCACAGGCATTCTCTTTCTCTACATGAAAACGTAAATGCAAGACAACACAGAAAGCAAACAATAGAGCAAACACACCTGTAACCTTCAGGAAAGTCGACTAGCCCAACAAATTTGTGAATGAAAAGTGACCTACTTTGGGGAGATTTACATGAACCTAACCAAGCCAAATTCTTTCATAGAATCCTATCTAAAAAATACTCTGAATTACATTTTTTTTGATTGATTCAATCATAACTTACAAACGGCAAGCGACTGGGTATATTACATTTGCCTAAAACCTAGAATAAATTTATATTAAACAAATATAGTGAACTCTGCTGCACATTTATGGAACCATCTTTGGTTCTTTTGTAATATCCTATCCCAGATGGCGTCACAGGACAGTCCAATATTTTAGAGTGTGGTAAGACTGGGTTTCCCTGCCTTCTGATGCTTTGAATGACCCCAAAACATCTAGAACTGGCCCAAAATTTGTGTTTACTCTCTTCTTTCTGAAACGCTCGGCTCATCCTTTCTGCAGTCATCTCTGGATTTATTGTCAGTCCCTTCCTGACGCGTCCCCTCCACACAACGTCGATGACATTTTGTTCCCAGGAGTCCACCTAAGTACTGTATTATTCATGACCTGCTTGCACATATCAGTCGGCCTCGACATCTTCTACCCAGCTTCAATTCACCATAGAGTATGCCCTTGGAGACTCTGCCATCCTCCATTCTCCAGGTGTGACCCAGCCACATGTGCCTTCATAGACTGAGAGTTATGTGTATTAAATATCTACATCATCCTCTGCCCTGCCAACTGGCGTTTCCCCTATCATGATCTCTGGTTGCCTGGAACAGCTCTCTTGATGATATCCGTCCTTGCCATAGTTTTAAGCCCATCCAGCATCATCTTTCTTGGGGTGCCTCTACCCCTTTTTCCACTGATCTTTCCAGTTGTCACAATGTTCTCCAATGTCTCTCTTCTCATTATGTGGCCAAAGAACAGTGTTTGTCTCTTTCTTATTGTTGTATATAGAGATAAACTTTCATTATCTTCTTTCAAGCAATCGTTGTTGGTTACTCTGGATATTAATATTATTAAATATAAAACAACAATCGTTATGCAAAAGTTTTAGTTGAAAAGTGAAATGTAACCAGTGGACCTGAGGAAAAAAAAAACATGTGTTTCCTTCATTAATTC